CAGTAAAACTTTTTCTGTCCTCTAGCCTACCTATGTAAATAGAAATACCTGGCTGCTGATTCATGTAAAAGTAAAAATAAAAGAAAACAACAAAAAAAAAACCCAACACCTCCCACAAATGACCACAATATGTAAAACAGTGCCAGACATCATGCAGCTATTTTCTAAGCAGGACAAACAGAAAAATAAATGATCTCCTCTTAACAGAACTCTACACAAAAACAGGCAGGTAGTAATTCTACAACCCAAGACCAGAAAAGCATTTTGCCTAAGTGAAGACTGCAGAACTGGGCCTGTACATCCTTAGGCCAACAGCATATAAATACTAAGTTCAGCCACCTTCCATACATTTGCTTTTATGTACTGAGAAAAAATGGTGCAGGAACTAGAAAGCCAATGCATTATACCTATGCAAAATAAGCTATGATCTGCTGGTAACCCCTTCTGCATTGCTAAGTCCTCTAGATATTTTTGTTAGCAGCTATGGCAGAACAAAGCTATCAGTTCAGTTCTGCAGTCAGATCAAAATGCTGTACTTACAACGTCACAGCATCCTACTATGATAGTATTTCTTTTTGTTTCATAAAATCAGCATTTCAATTTCAGTGAAGAGCCATGAAGAGCAGGATAACAGCATGTGAAAGAGACAGCATCTCTTTCAGAAGACTTCAGAAGAAAATGCAAGCAAGAAAATGTATGAAATACATTTGAAGGGTACAGAGATTTTGATTTCACAATCATAGTTTTCAGAATGCTTCTGAGAGTGAAATGAATAGTGTATTTAACAGAAGCTTTAAACTGCTCTCTAGACTCTTTAAAAGGGGGGAGGGAATCAAAAAGCACTAGAGGGAGCTGCTGTTCTACTTAACCCGTTTGGATTCCTTGTTTTCACCATAAACTGTTACTCACTGGAGTGAGACACGTGTGAGCACGCATCTCAGCTCTCCAGCACTGAAATAACAGAACAGTACTCAAAAACAACATCAGACAGCAAGGATGCAAACCATGAATTCTGAACCAGAAGGGAATAACAGAACACTTTAAAAGTCGATAATATTTAATAAACCTTAAAAAATACTCAAAGGAGGATCGTCATCTGGGTAGGCTTACAGAAATATTTTTTATACCCCATCAGTAAAAATCCTCATTGACTCCTTGCCTTTTGCGGGCACAGGATTTGCTCCAAAGGGAAAAAATGACACAAAAGAAAGGATACCTGGAAGAAGTTCTCTGGCTCTGCAGAGGGACCTGGACAGGCTGGATCGATGGGCTGAGGCCAACTGCATGAAATTCAACAAGGCCAAGTGCCAGGTCCTGCACTTTGGCCACAACAACCCCATGCAGTGCTACAGGCTTGGGGAAGAGTGGCTGGAAAGCTGCCCAGCAGAGAAGGACCTGGGGGTGCTGGTCGACAGCCGGCTGAACATGAGCCGGCAGTGTGCCCAGGCGGCCAAGAAGGCCAATGGCATCCTGGCCTGTATCAGAAATAGTGTGGCCAGCAGGAGTAGGGAAGTGATCGTGCCCCTCTACTCGGCCCTGGTGAGGCCGCACCTCGAATACTGTGTTCAGTTTTGGGCCCCTCACT